TTAGAAGAACACCAAGCTTGGGGCCGTGGCCTCTCTCTCAGTGTTCCCTGTGTGACCTGGGGCATCTCCCCTCATTTGCACAGCCCCTTTAGACTTGATTTCCTACAAGCTTGAATTTAGGTTTTGAAACTTAATACAAAAGGTTGCTTGAGACAGTCCTGTACTGTTGTAATCACACACATAGCTGAGGGTCTGTCAGCTCTGTGAAGGCAGGAACTGTGTCTGCCTGTCCACCAAGCACTTGCAGGATATACACCTGTTTTGTGGTGATCACAGGCATCCCGGTGTCGCTACTGTTCCTGCTTAGAGGCTGTCGTATGGAGCGGGGACCCGGGAGAAGACTGCTTGGATCTCCCTCTTGTGTTTCCTATGGCTAAGCTCCTTCACCTGTTGTTGCTTTTGCTTCCTGATGGAGTCATACTAGTAAGTCTCGTTTATAGGGTTGCTTTGAGGATTATATAAAACTACATATAAAGCCCTCGGAACAGGGCACGATATATGGAAAACACTGTATGTGTCATCCTTTGTATAGGATCATTGTGATGGTGCTGGCAGGGTAGTTATCACTGATGCTCAGACATCTTCCTCCTAGTGGCACCTTTTTTTTTTTTTAAAGAGTGGCTGCTGTGATAGATGGAATGCTTGTCTTTTCTTCACGGCAAAAGGAACAGAACCCTTAACTTTGTTCTTTGTGGCATAACGAGGCGCCTTCATACTCAGTCTCTCTGTGACCAGCTTACACCCGACATTCTCATCCGACCAGATCATAAGTTAGAAACCCTCATTCTTCCAGCTCTAGTTATTCTCATTCATGAATTAACCAAAAGGCTGTTTTTCTACATTAAACCTGCAGCCACCTCATGGTAGGAAATCCGAGTTGAGTAACGCCTTCTGGTTTATACACAGAGGACACAGAGAGAAACATCATGAAGATCATTTAAAGACCAGGAGTCTGAGGCTTGTAGAGGTTAAGGATGTTGGGCCGGTCTCCAAGTCGGCGAGAAGCAGAGTGTCAGGGCCAGGGCAGTGAGGCGGGAATCTGTAGTCTGTACAGCCTCTCGCTGGCCAATTAGCCCCTGCTCCCCGAATCTTTCTGAGTGTTACCATCTTCACCTTATCTATCCTCAGACCAAACAAATCCTGCCCATGACTCACTGTCTTCTCCATTGTTTTATGCCTGTGCTCTCTCTGTCGTGTATTATTCTTGAGGGCGACCAAGAGAAAAGAAGAAATAACTCTATACGAAAGAACAAACAAAAATCGCACCACCTGGGACCATTCAAACTGGATTTCCCCTGGTAAGGTGGATGTGCCTTGGAGAAAACAATGTTGAGGATTATCAGCAAAACATGTGCTAGGAGAAAACACCTGGATGAGTTTATGTTTACAGGAAGTTTTCTTACTTCCTGTAAACATACTTTTTCATACTGTAAACATATCTTTTCATACTCATTAACCCATCTTCACAGGACACGCTCATAGATTATTTTTATGTCCTTTTATTTTCAGCAAGAATCATACTAGATTTGCCTGTGTACATTCAAAGGCTGGAGGAAACAATGCCCGCAGGAATGTGACACTTTCAAATAGAGACGGGTCTTTTAGCAAGCTTGATATACACGGGACAATATTCTAATTTGTCCAAAACGGATAAAGCAGGCAATAATTAGGAGAGCTTTCCCCTCCTTAAAAAGATTCATAGCTGATATTCTACTATATTTAAGATCTCTACAAGTTATATCACATCTAAAATTCTCAGTTGAATGAGCAACCGATTTTATTCTATTTCTTGATTTATTGTGGAGGTTAGTTATACCTTTTTCGGGAACAGCAATATTCTAAAATTCACCAACTCTAAATATAAAATCAGTAGTATAGCCATCAACTAATCTAATGAATAAAGGATATGTTAAAAAGTAACATAATCCCAGGTGCATGTAAATGAAGTAATTAAACATCAACATAATTTCAGAATTGCTGCTTCTCTCTTATTTTGCATTTTGATCGCCTCACGTATGCATACAGAGATTCTTTACCCGAATCCTGTGTACCTTTATAATAACAATCTCCTGTGCCTAACAATAGGTAGACTGAGCATGTAAAACTTAGACCAAATGTTTGTGAAAACAGGTCTATGCCATGGGGTTAAGATTCTAGTGCAGAGTAACCGCTTTTTAAAAGTTCAGTCATTTTACAGCTTTTCAGAAACGCATTCGTAACATGGTGCAAAGAATATTTACACCTGTCTGTTCGGTGTCCTGCGGTAGTGACATGATTGCATTTTCATTCTCTATCCAGATGTTTTTGTGTCTTAGAATTAAGTCCCTAAGCTACTTCAGAGAAATAAAGCCTAATCTTCTTTTGAAAGACTCCCAGGGAAATGGAGTCCTTAATCCCCTTTGCTGATCCCTTTCAGCATTTACCAACTTTTATTTTCATACTTAATCTAAACCCTCCTGCCTCTGAGTCCATTTGCAGTCTATTGTCTTTCTAACAATAGAAAACAATAGCCTCTTGGAGAGAGGTCTTCCTACTGGGGAAATTCTCTGCTAATCACCCTGTCTTATTCTCCTTTCTGAATAATTCTTGTCTCCTACCCCAGTGGTAAATCAAGTAATTGCTCGATGGGTGTCCTAGCTGCAAGCAGCCTTAGTCAGAAGAGTCACATGACAAACGCACACCTCCGAGACTCAAACCAAAGGTTGTGTTTTGATACAGAATTTTAAGAGCTAGAAC